TATCTCATTTCCTATGGGTTTTTTGCTATTTGTATTTATTATCAATATTGTAGAATACAAAATTCTCTACAAATTTTGTTTAAAAAATTTTTTTATACGGTGAAGCGTTTTCGAGATAGAGGGCGGAGAGCGCGCGGTCACCGCATCACTTCAGGTCAACCGGTGCCTCCGGTCGAAAACGCGCCATATATAGTTGATGTACTATCAATAAATCAATGATTATAAATATTTGTCAATTTTTATTAACTATTATATTATATTTTATCATTTTTTTCCTAACTTATCCACTTTTTATTCAGTATTAATTTATTTAATAACACTTACCTGCCCATGTAATTGCAGAATTGTTAATGAAAATATAAGAATTATATTTGAATTTTAACCTTGAACTTTTGACCTTGAAATTTAATAGTTGCTTACACCCTACCATATGTAGGTTTTGAGACAACTTTTAGGGTGTCAATATACAAGTATTTACAGACTTACAGCTGGGTATCTCGAATTCCGAGATTCTTACCTAATTTAAGCTTAAATGACTGGACTACATGGGGTTGCTCGTCGGGGCGTCGTGGTTGAATGCGTAAGCGACCCTGCGACGCCCCATTAAGACGAGGGAAATTTTTGTTGGGTTTTAGTGGGTAGTACTGGCTTTTTCGGTGAGTCCCACATCTCGTGTGTAGCATTTCCCAACGTTAAAAAAAAGAGGAACCTGGGAAATTATATTGAAAAAGCAATAAATTTTTCAATAAAATTTAAATTCGAATTTCGAATACGGGGCGAACACGTACTAATTAAGTAAAGGACTAAAACCAGAACTATAGTGCCAAAAACTTAACTGACACGGTGGCCAAAACTGGAACTACGTGTTGCCATTTTGAAATGCTATTTTTTGTCACGTGTTGTCTTGGAATCCAACCTTTAAATTACCAAAATGATTATCTACGATTCTACATGATCTTAATAATAACATTAAAATATAATTTATTAAAAATGTGTTTTGATCATTATTTCTTGTTATATTACGTTGTATAACAAAAACAGCAAATTAACATTACGATTACATACTCCTTGTGTCCTTGGGCTATGTCATTATTATTTTTTTCCTAAAACTGCGGAAATTCTATTTAGCGGCAATACTAAATTCTACAACAGCGACGCCGTTACCGGGTCAGATAAGTTTATGGCATTTTATTTGTCTCATCAAACACTAAAAATACAATATTAATGTCAATAAATCTGTTGACGTAGCTTCTGACATCTTACGTCACATTTTTATTTCAAATAATATGGCTGCCATTCGTATTTTAGAAGCCGTTCATACTTTGCACTTTCATTTATAAAACAGGCACTTCAAAAATATATAATTAGACTATACTGAATCATAATATATGTCAGAACAATCGATCAAAAAAGTACTAGATGCACAATCCAAATGTTCAAATGAGCGCTCATTCGGTCAGGACAGAAAAAAATGGGGAAAAATATTCAAATCAAATATAGTGGACGTGCATATTCTTAATTTATATATAATAAATTATTTTCTGGTTGACGAAACAGAATGCAATAATTTAACATATCCAAAAATATCATTGTAAAAAAACCGCTATACGACCTTAGTCCAAATAAAACAATACACATCTCAATGACTAATTTGTATAGAAGTGGTATAACAAGTTTTTGTACGGGTATTTGATAAATTAATTAGAAGCAATAATGAAAATAAAATATAACAGAAGTTGAATTAAATAAAATAAACATCTCATAAGTTACAGCTCATATTATTAATCTTATGAATGTGAAAGTAAGTCTGTCTGTTACCTTTTCATGCTTAAACCCCCAGACAAATTTTGATAAAATTTAGCATATCGGGACATAGATTGCACCCTGGCATCGAACATAGCCTTATAGGCTACCTTTGATCTGTTCCGCTCACCAGTTATTCTACTTTGTCCGTGAAATGCACAGATATACAGACAAGCAGAAATAGACAAACAGACAAAATATAATAATAACTATTATTCTAGGGTCTATATATCTGTATTTCAAAATACTTATATATCAAAATTTAACAGTCACAGTTTGTAAAAATATTAATCATGTACGGATTCCCCTAAGTTAATATTTTATTATATGTATGTGTGGCAAATTGATGAACCGGGCAATATTAATATGGACCGATCATTGTGAATGACCATGAGAGTCGGTCAAGTTGTTAAATTTATTACTTGGGCCGGTCCACATTACTAATGTCCGATGGCCCGTGATCCATTTAAAAATCAAGGTTTGAGATAGCTTAAATTTATCACTTGGACCGGGCAGTATGTATATGTGTAGCATATCAAGTGTCTGGTATCTATTGCACAAGTCTCGTAGCTTACCATGGAATTAAATGGTGCTGTGTGTTAATGTCCCAACATATTTAACATATAACTCTCAGCTGTAAGGCCAGATGCTTAGCTTTTCGTTTCCTAATTATTTACACAAGACAAAGTGAAAGGATACTTTAGAAATCTCACATTCAAAGTAACTGCCGTTGCATAAGTACACGCGTGGAATCGTCGATACTATTTAAAGCAGATCTTTAAATGAAATGATTTATCATAATAAATGTATTCTAGCTTATTCTTCATTATAAGTTTCAATTGTTTCATATTATTTATTGTTTCACGTTCATTAAGAGTTCACGGCCAATCACGTTTTTGCTCTTTCACATTAAAGTGATAACGCTGAAGCGAAAATTTTTTTTTTAATTGAAACTAGTTTTCAAAAAACGTATGATCTCCACCAAAACGCACTTGACCTCGATAAAATGGCTAAATAAAAAAAAATTGTAGCTGAGGTCTTATTGTACCGTGTGTTCTGTGTTTCAAGGATTCAGACACAAGGTAATCTGGGGCCTTAAAATGTCTAGACACAATGTCAAAACTCAAATCTGGGGCCTTAAAATCTCTAGACACAATGTCAAAACTCAAATGTATACGTATAATGGGCGTAGCTATATGATTTGTTTTGTTGTAAAATGTAGATAGGTACTTTTGTTTTTTTTAACCCCCGACGCAAAAAGAGAGGTGTTATAAGTTTGACATCGATATCTGTCAGTGTGTGTGTCTGTCTGTGGCATCGTAGCTCTCAAAAGGATGGACCGATTTCGATGTGGTTTTTTTTTTCATTTGAAAGCCAGTATCCTTGCGGTGGTTCTTAGCTATGCTTGGTTAATGTCGGTCCAGCAGTGCAAGAGTATCAGCTCCTTTCCAAAATGATGTAAGTCATTTTGGCGTATGATTACTTGATTAAGTGCTTCACGCTTTCTAATGTAATCGTTAAGTGACAATAATTAATTTGCGTACAGGTTTTTTAAAATTTTTAATTTATAATTATGTTACATGTGGTTGATAAAGAGACCCTTGATTAAATTAATTGGTATGATTATTTTTGAATTGACATGAATATATTTTCATGAGAAGTTTCCTTTTAAGTTTTTACACCAACAACATACTAAAAGGCAATATGCTTGATGTTTTTTTTTAATTTTTTTATACAATAGCTAACTAACATCGTTATATAATAATTGTAAAAAAAATATTCAGCTCCAAAAAACTAAAATTTAGTATATATATTTTTAAATATCATACCGATACGGATTATGCTAATACTTTGACGTCATATTCGGTCTAACCAATGGCGTTCGTTTCAAAACTTTGAATTTCCCATCTACATTTGCACTTTAATTAATAATAATTCTTTTTAAATTATTGAATAAGTAGGTTATTCTAAGACAGTTTATGAAATTTTATATGTATACTCAGGTTATAAAAGATTTATTCACCTTTTGCAGATGAAATCTGAATAAAGAAAAGAATTTCTAATATTATTAATATCAACAATTTTTAAATACATCATTATTTTTCAAGGTCCGTACCCGAAGTGTGCCAACGGAGCCCTATTACTAAGCCTTCGCGGTCCGTCCGTCCGTCCGAGGGTTGTATCTCATCACTCATGAATCGTAATAGGTAGAGAGTAGAAATATTCATAGAATGAGTATTTCTATTGCCGCTATAACGACAAAAAAAACCAAGATGGTGAATTTCAAAAAGGCTGCCAAGTAAATTAAAAATCTATATATATAAAAGAAAGTCGTGTTAGTTACACCACTTATAACTCAAGAACGGCTGAACCGATTTGGCTGAAACTTGGTGGGGAGGTAGCTTAGAACTAGGAGACGGACATAGGATACTTTTTAGCCCGTTCGACTGCGTTCCCGTATACAAGACTCAAGAACGGCTGGACCAATTTTTATGATATTTGAATTTTTGGATTTCTCTCATTCCGGAATAGGTTAATACCTAAGTATTAAAACGTCAGAAAAATTAACGAAAAAAAAATATTTATATGGCTAATAACACTGGCTAATAACTATTTATATCTATTTAAAACGTACCTAGCGACGAACCCGAGCGAAGCGAGGGTGAGCCGCTAGTTATTAATAATTATTAATCGATTCTTGTACGGAACCCATCGTGTGCGAGTCTGACTCGCACTTGACCGACTTTTAAGTATGAAATCGTGTACGAATAAGCAATACCCATAGTTTTAATATTGTTGAAAAAAATATTTTTATTTTATAGTTTGGCTATAAATTACAAATGAATGTCGATGAGATTAGCGCATTCAAGGAAACAAATAACAAAATATTTATTTTTGTAGAAGTATTTTAGCATTTGGCATTAGGGAATCCCCGTTTAAAATGGAACATATTATTCTTAGTTGCAGCTGCCCAAACCCAGACCCAAAGTATAAAAGCTCAGTGTAATGAAAACTTTGGTAGTTTTCATTTACTATAGCTATAGTAAATAAAAACTATCAAAATATGTATGATATAAAATTATGGTTCGTCATATTATAAAAGGGGAATCAATAAGTTTAATAAAATAAATTATTATTCTTTACAGATCTTACCAATCATATTACACGAAATGAAGAACACTAACTAAAACACAGCAATGTCTGAGAAAAAAATTGATATTATCATGGACGACCCTGCCTGCAAGACAGAAAGGACGTCGCCGTTCTTTAGACAGGTAAGAGAACAATCTAAGCTCCAAACTTATTTCACGTATATATAATACCACAGATGACTTAATACTTTGTCTGTCTGTCTGTTACCGCATCACAGAAAAACTACTGGACGGATTTTGATGAAATTTGGTATGGTCATAGCTGATTATCCAGTCAACATATAGGATACTTTTTACCGTGGAAAAATATCTCATTTCTGAGAAAAAATACAAAAACTGTAATGTAACTGTTATGAGTATACTAATATGTAAAACCTAAGAGTGTGATTTTTGGTCATCTGAACGCGGGCGAAGCCGCGGGCAATGCTAGTATAATATATGTATGTATATTTAATTGTTAGATTAGGTTTTGCTTTTAAGTTTATCTATACATATGGATAAACTTATATAAGTGTTTTTTTGTTGTTGTTTTGTTTAAAAACGTTTTTATTTTCAAGCAAAACACGTTTTTATAACTATGTAATTATTATAATTAGAGCCTTTTGCTATCCGCTCTTATGCTCACAATATCACAGCGCCATCTCGTAAATGTTTTTGGTACTTGCATTGTCGCCGATCGATCTACTAAGCTAGCTTCTCCTACGCAGACGAAAGCTCGGTCGCCGAGGTACTTGAATCTTGAAGTAAATCGTGACGTGCGCTCTAATTACTAATATGTATAACGGTATCGAGTATCGAAGCTTATTGTTAGAAATAAACAAAGTAATAAGAATTGTGAGGTTTCTAATGCTGATGGTCTTTGCCACCGATGGCTTAATCCTTCAATCTTATGGATGGAAGATAACTTTTATGTTATTATTTTTGTTTAATATTTGTTTTATAATAATAACTAAAATAAAAAAACTCTCGTAACTCTCTCGTAAAAAAAGGAAATCCGGACGTTTTCACAAAAGCTATTAAAGAGTTCCATTATCCTTTAGATTGGCGGCAAAGTGCATAACATCAAATTATTATATTTATCACCAAGATTTCACGTACCTACCTAATTAAAAGATTCAAATCGATAGAAGTGAGTTAAAATCGAAGTAGCGTGTTAAAAATAATAATTATTCGATAATTATAATAATCGATTTTCCAGCTATTCGCAATCACTGGTATAGTGATGTACATGACAGGCACTGGCGCTAACATCGCGTATCCCGGCGTCCTCCTGGAGCAGCTCAGGCAACCTAACTCGGCCGTGCGACTTACCGTGGAACATGAGTCTTGGTTTGGTAAGTACTAACTGCATAGAGTAATACATTTTAATAATTACATAATAATTACATTATAGTAGTACTTTTTATAACGTAGGACAGTGCGAAAAATGTCTTGTTTTCCGTTTATTTTTAAAAGGGTTCGGATGATAATCTTACTATCTTACTAATATTATAAATGTGAAAGTTTAGACTTTAGATGGATGTTTGGATGTTTGTTTGTCAATCGTGCTGAACGAACGGCTGAATGGATCTGGATGAAATTTGGCGCAGAGATAGATTATAGTCTGGAATTTCGTATTTTAACTTACTATTTTACGTGACCAAAAACCAAATTCTTAGGTTATACATATTAGTATACTCTTAAAATGCAGTTTTTGTATTTTTTCTCAGAAATGAGATATTTTCCCGCGGTAAAAAGTATGCTATATGTTGACCCGGATAACCAGCTATCATCATACCAAATTTCATCAAAATCTATCCAGTGGTTTTCTCGGGATGCAGACAAAAATTCTAAAAACTATAAATTCGGACTCTGTATCGATAATAATGTCCATTCCTATTAGATTTTCCAACAAAAAATTAATGTACAGATTCGACTTAGTTACAATTTTATTATATGTATAGATGATATGGATATTTTTGACTTGGCCTTGTTTAATAATAACTCGGAAACCGTCCTAACATATCATTGTACTAGAGTTTTTTGCAGTATGCCGTTTATTGAACCGTTCACAATGTCTCGTTTTTACTGCAAAAAAAGTAAATATCTATACCGAAAAAATAAGTTTACCGGATAGGTACTTTGCGGACTACACATTTGAACCCAGTCTTAATCGTCCAAAATCACAAAAAAACTAAAAAGAATAATAAGACAATTCGACTTTTTTCAGTAATAAAATTTTTGTACAAACAAACGATTTAAGACGGAAATTAAATAAAATGATAATTTTGACTGACTGATTTGTCAATCCACACCGACACGTCGAAAGCGATTAGTCAAGTAGTGACTGACGTAGATAACTAATTTTAAAAAGTCAACCTGAGTTTTATCTATACATATAATAAAATTGTTACAAAGTCGAATCTGTACATTAAAAATTTTTTGGAAAATCTAATTGAAATAGACATTATTATCGATACAGAGTCCGAATCTATAGTTTTTACAATTTTTGTCTGTCTGTCTGTGTTTCTGTCTGTCTGTCTGTTACCACGAGAGTGTAGTTTTATCACGAGAAAACCACTTGACAGATTTTGATGAAATTTGGTATGATGATAGCTGGTTATCCGGGTCAACATATAGGATAATTTTTACCGCGGGAAAATATCTCATTTCTGAGAAAAAATTCAGAAACTTCATTGTAAGAGTATAACTAATATGTAAAGCCTAAGAACATGGACGAATTAGAGACTGGACCTGACATAAAATACAAATGTATGAAAACTAGTTCAACCAAGTGACGCATAACGCACACAAAGATTTTATTACATTATTATAAACACTGATACACAATACAATATTTCTAGTGCTTGAACGTAATCGATAAAATACATATATCGATGCACCAATGAATGACATTTTAGACATTGGTTAGCATAGTCATCATATTTTACATCTTTTAATTTATACTTCTTCTTTTAATTTTAATAAATTAAAATAAATGAATTAAAGAGGCAATAATTATGTGTCAAATAATAATTATTTTTTAATTTGATTTATATAAATACGATGGCATTGATGGCAACATTCTGTTGGCCTATAATAATGTTAATGAACAAATGAATATCGGGTATATATTCCATTAATATATAATAAATATTATTTTGTAAAGATTAAAAAAAATATTAAGCTAATTTAATTAAATAAAGTGATTTTGTTGATTCTGTTATTGAACTATTTTAATTGGCAATTGATTGTCTCGGGTAGTTATAAAAAAGTGACACTGTCCTAATATTGCTCAGTTCTTAATAAACATTTGTGAAATTAGGAAAAAGAAAAAGAGATTGCAAATTAAAGTGAGTGTTGGATCGTGAAAGTAAAATAATTAGTGCAAGTGGTAAAGTGTTTTATTACAAATCGCCAACCCAGAAGTTTAGTGCTAAAACATTATTGTTTGATTTTGTGTAATTTATGTGTTGAAATAAAATGATCTTTATTATTATTACAATGGAATAATATTCCAAAGTATATAAATGTGGAATAAAATAAAATAAAAAATTAAGTACACATACTAATTATAATTTTTGCATTTATATTTTTATTTGATTTAGAAAATATTTTTATAAATTTATTGTCATCAGATTGTAGGATACTGTGGTAAAAGTATTTTATGTTATTGTACTGTACAAATAACACAATTCATTTAGTAATTTTGTCAAATATCGATATATTTTTCGACATTGTCAAGCACTAGTCGATGTCAAATGGACTCACTCGACAGTTTAGTCATTTGTTCTGAATGGTATAATCCAGGGATTTTATGATGGTTGTCAGATGTCAACAATACATAGAAATATCGACTATATTTAACATAGTTGGATAATATGACATTTTATTTTACATTTAATTAAATTGTGTGATAAATAACAAAAAAATTAAGAAAATAATGTATTTATAAGTGAAAAGAAATACTGCTGCTTCCGCCGTTATAGTTTTTACATCATTTAACAGAACATTTAGTCATTTTTGGGAGATGTTTTGTTGACAAGTAAGTGCTTGAGACTGACGCAAAAAACAAACGACCAAGCCTAAAATCTCCTGGTTACTGAGCAGACCGATAAAGGTACGTCCGCTTATATGTCTAGTCCAGTGGTTAATTCGTTCATGCCTAAGAATTTGTTTTTGGTCATCTGAACGCAGGCGGAGCAATGCTAGTTATGTTTATAAACCAGATAAAAAAAATAAAAAGATATGTTTTAAAAAAACACAAACAAAACCAATTAAAAGCAGCACCATCGAAACGTCAATGGCTATTGGCTAGTTAATTTACATCAACTTGAAAAGTCATTCACTTGTTATAAATATGTCGTGTAGGTACTTTACTTCATAAATATAATTTGTGCTGACATCCATTGAAGTAAATGGCTTTTGACTAAAGTCGATTACACTTAAATCAATATTGTTTATAATATGCTCAATATGGATTTCTCAGAGATGAGATATTTTCCCGCAATAAAAAGTATCCTGTATGTTAACCCGAACAATCAGTTATCACCATACCAAACTTTATCAAAATCCCTTTAGTGGTTTTTCCGTGATGCGGTCACAGACAGACAGACAAAAATTGTAAAAACTATAGATTCGGCATCTATATCGATATTCGATAATAATATCTATTTCAATAAGATTTTCCAAAAAATATTTCATGTACAAATTTGCCTTAGTTACAGTTATATAATATGTATAGATGTAATATAATATGCTATATTTATTATAAGGAAAAACTAGATTTCTTTTGCCTTGGTTTAATATAATTTATATAAATAACACTACTGTAGAAGTTTTAGAATATTTTTTTACTGGAAAACGGTGTAGGAAATTCCAATTATTTTTTTTTTGTTAAACATAAATTAAAAGGTAGATTTAGCTAAACCAAAAAAATAAAAGTTGAATTTCGTAAACATTTTTCACGCCCCGATGAAGTTAACAGCTGTAGCTGATATACGAAATCATAATAAGTACTTTCTTAAAAGACTTTTTAGTTTTAATTAGATTTTCGGATTTCTATGCAGATTAATTTGAATCTTAGTTGGGAGAGACTCTCCTTTGACTATGATTGCTGTAAAGTATTCTAAACGTCTTGAATCAAAATAAATCCCCAAACAATCCGAAAAACAGTTTAATTTAATATATATATATTAGGGTGTGCCAAGAAATGACGATTTTTTTTTCTTCACTTTCACCCCAAAATATCTCAGAAAATGTCCCAACAAAGCTCCTGTTCAAAGCGGAGCTCAAAATTCCAATTCTAAGAGGTTCTCCATCGAACTTTAAGTTTTCCCATACAAATTGTATGGAAAATATGATTTTTAACACTTTTTTGTCCTGCAAACTGTGACGAAAATATTTTTCAAAAAAATGAATGAATGGACCGCTTTAAGTATTAAATTTACTATAAAAAGTTCCATTGAGTCGAATTTCTAACTTCAATATTCGATTTGTTATATGGCTTTGAAGTTCAAATTTACGGTTTTTTGCATTTTTTAGCTAAACTGTAAGAGTTAGAGAAAAATGTTAAATGAAAAATATTTGTCAACTTTTTCATATCATCAATAATAACAAAGTTACAGACTCACGAATATTTATTTTTTCAAATTTTTGCCTTTACGAACTGAAATATGGATAATAATTAAACAAAAAAATTGTTGCAAATGCAATTACATAAAATTTGCAATAATGTATGTTATTTGTTTTATATTTGCTGAGAGTCTCGCTACATATAATATGTACATACTACATATGTCACAGATTGGATAATATACCTACTATGTTCCTTTGTCAACATGTTTTTATCTTTTCACTTAGGTTTTTCCTCAGTTGGGTTTTTTATTCTTGTAAGAAGTCGAAGGAATTACGAATAAATGACTGTCATTATCCTTTTCGTAACAACTGTGATTGCTCTTTGCAATCAGATATAATTTACTCTAACCTACACACTATATACACTACATACATACTTACTAGCAGAACCCGCGGCTTCGCTCTCGCTAAAACTACAAAAAAATCTCTAAAAATGAAATTAAAAGGTAATTTCATACAAACTTTCATCCCCTATTTTACTCTGTTGTAGAATGAATTTTGAAAAATATTATTTTATTATATTTATTTAATTTTATTGAAGAGTATACATACCAAGTTTCAAGTAATTCTGATCATAAATATTTTTTTTGGGTTATATTATAACGTTGAATTCAGAATGAATTGCGTCTGTTAACGCAGCTCTAAGCCATAAAGAAAAAATATATATACGGTACTTAAAAGAAAAACACAATTATTATTTTTTTTGTCTGTGTATCTGTTTTTCCGTGTGTCCCTAATTTAGACGAGTCTCAAGGGTAAGATAAACAATTTTATGTTTAAGCTGCTCAACGTGCTACGCTAATTTTCGTTATTATACTTATCAAGTACATATTTGTAATGACGGTGGAGTATTATTGCTTCTAGGAATCAACTAATGCTCGTAACTTATTACCTACCTATCCTTAGGTATTATATATAACTAGCAACTCACCCTCGATTCTCTTCGGATTCGTCCCTAAACAAAAATAATTTTATCCCACAGGAACCGTAAATTTTTCCGGGACAAAAAGCAACCTATGTGCTATTCCAGACTATAACCTATCTCTGTTTCAATTTTCATCCAGATCCGTTCAGCCATTCTGGCGTGAAAGAGTAACAAAAAACATCCATCCATCCTCACAAACTTTTACATTCATAATATTAGTATTTATACAGGCTATTCCCTCGTCATATTTTTACTCATTGCCTGTAAATTCTAAATATTATAGTATATTCTATATTACAATCCTATATGGCGATAGACGGGAAACCAGATACGTTTATATATAGATAGATTATAAGTTTATAATGGTGCGCCTCAAAAACAGAAATAAGAAGTTTATATACCCCCTCACCTTGCTTCCAGTGGAAAGTTAAAAAGACCTGAATACATATTATACATACGATAAAAAGATTGTTTATCCTTTGCCATCAACCTTCCATTTTTTTTCTATTTCAGCTTCCATCTTAGGCCTGGCTCTGATAGCAGGTATCTGTGTGGCGCCCTTCTCCCTACAAAAGCTTGGACGTCGTATGAGTAACCAGCTCAGTTCTCTCCCAGCGCTGGGCGGGTGGGCCCTTCTCATCACAGCCAAGGACCCTTATACTTTACTTATTGGTAGATCTTTACAGGTAAGCCAACATTACTGGAAAGTTGACTTAGAGAAGAGTTCTATTGATAGTTTTAAATGAAACTACCTTTTCGGATTATTTCGCGGATTTATTTAGATTTTTGGTTCCCGACGTTTCGAATGCTTTACAGCAATCATGGTCACGAGAGAGACTAAGTTTATAGACGTCTCAAAGGCGTTATATACTTGTTACAGAATGTTATAATCCGAAAAATTGGTATTATTTAAAACGTCAAATATTTGCGTAAATTTAATGGATCGAGATCCCACTGCAAGATTACTACGTTCATTGCGTATTTAATCGAAATCATTTTTTTTATATACAATAACAAAAGGGACAATATGTTTTGACCGCGGTGCCTATTCAAATGTGCCCGCTAATATGTTTAATTAACTAAATAATAGTTGACTTTTTGGAATAAAAACGATGCATTTGTTATTACAATGAATTATACTCCACTTCACAGAACTATACGTAGAGATCTTGAAAAATGATGGCTGCCGTTGCGCATTTGGCCGCAACCTCTTTGCAGCCAGGTGTAAGCGGGTCATATTTTGGTATGTTTATACGTTCATAGCGTACATGCATCATTTATATATCAAATTAAAGCTAATTCTTTTCTGTACCTGGTAAACTACGTCTGCCCATGTAAAAGTGGCCGCAAAAGTGGTTGCGAGTCATTAAAAATGTTTTTATTACATTTATGGCAAGATTAAAGTGAAAGAGAATTAGCGCGTTAGTTATCTGTTTGTTGCCATGGTAACCGTTGTTATTGTCTGACAAATGACATATAATATTATATTCTTTCCTTCTTTCCTTTCCATTGCGGCCACTTTTACATAGGTAGAGGTATTTTATCATGCACAGAAAAAAATTAGCTTTAATTTGATATATAAATGAAGAATATACGCCATGAACGTATAAATTATTAAATGTGTATGCTCAGATGAATGGGCTAGTTTTATCGGAATTACTAATAATTTCCCATAGAATATCGGCGTAAGATACTAATCAGTGCCGTACAGTGTTGTGTTTGTTTGTAAGAGTTTCTTAGCTGTAAGAATGCTCTACCCCATAAACATCTGCAAATCCCCCCACCTCTAAGCCCTTTCGATTCTTGTTTCACTTTTTACCTCGTTCTTTTGACTCCCTTATAATACACTAAAATCTAAAAAATAATTATATATAAAGTTCTGCAACCTTGATTATATAGGTCATGAACGAATTACCACTTCGTTCATGATATACCTAGGTATATTCTTATGTATTTTTTTTCTAATAATGAAAGGCAAAGGCGAATAGTAAACAGTCTTTTTATTATTATTTCTTATTTAAGAATAAAAGTATTATTTATTACTAGTTGTTAGCAAATTATTACCTAGTACCTAGATATGAACTTTTTATAACATAAAAAAAGTAATGCAGAGAATATATAAAAATATTAAATATTTTGTAATAATATTTTAAAATTAACACATACACATTTTAAATGTACATATATATACATAGATCGATATTTTATAGTATCGGATTTATAATTTAAATAAATAAATATCTTATATAATAATTTAAATATACATATAAATAATTTAAATAAATAAATATCTATCCTTTGATATTTTCAACCGACTTCACTTTATCTGAGTAAATAATATGAAATGAAGTTATGGATACATTTACGTGATTTATGCTATTCAGTTTTTAAGGACAATACATTTTATAAAGCTAACCCATCACACTATAATTATAAATGCTAAAATTTTATGTATGTTTGTAAGTCTTACACATTCTAACTCAAGACGTATGTATATGGATGATTTACAAGCTACACCATGACCAACAATCAGAGCTCGGAAACCAGCTCAATTTTTAAATCGGTTTTGGTCATTGACCCCAAACCGAAAGGGTTTTCGGTTTAAGGTTTCGGTTACGTCCTTTAACCGATTAAGACCCGGAGAATGGTTTTTACCGAATTTAGGTTCGATGATCGAAATTAACTGGTTAAAATGAGTTTAAATGCATCTATATTTGGAGTATCTGTGCTAATGGTGAATTGTGTAGCAGAAGGATACATGTGCGTTTTTTACTTATGAATGAATTAACCGGTTAATTTCGGTATCAAAACCAAAGTCTTACCTTTCTCTGAGAATGAACGTTAACCATTATTATTTCGGTTTATTAAACTGTTCGTTTTTATGAACCGGTTAAAGATCGAGCTAGGAATTAACCATTACATTACCGAAATAAACCGTTTTTTTTAAATCAGTCTCGTGCCCGGCCTACAATAACAGAATTAGGCTACAGTTAGTAATAAAGTTTGAAAGGTGGCGCTATCTGTATACATTTTCACGCTATCTATAAATGACGGTAAACGTAAACATTCTGTTAAAAGTGTGATTGCGTACCTGCGACCTTTCTTGAATAAACAGTGAGTCAAATGCCTTATTTCACCAACATTTGTTATATTAATTACGGTTACAACCATTTTGATTTATTTATTTGCCTCCTATTACGAATATCACTTGACTTGATTGACAGCAGTAAAGTGTTACACGCGCTTCTCTCAATTACAATAGATATTTTAAACAAGAACTCGATAAAGGTTCGTTAGAATTTATTTGCTACTCGTGTCGGTAAAGTCCATACGATTAATTGTCAATAATATAAAGGTCTTATTAGTTACCAGACACTTACGTTCCCTTCGCTCGGATGCCAAGTTACGCGAATTTTGCTTTTTAATTCGAAGGTTTTTTTTTTCGCGGAACCCTATATCTTTTTCCTAAACAAAAGTGGCCTAAGTTACTCCTTATAACATCAGCTATCTACCAGTGAAATTCGTGTCAAAATCGGTTTAGCCGTTTCGGAGATTAGCCGGAACAAACAGACAGACAGACAAAAAATTAAAATTATTTTTTTTTCTTATAAATACCATTATCTCTTATAAATATACTTTCATGTGTATTTAGTAAAAAGTTTTTATTTTTGCAATACAAACAGACACTTCAATTTTATTTATTTGTACAGATTTATAGAACAAGATAATATTTTTATTTAATACTTTCGATTTAGATTTACGCAAATATTTGATATAGGACGGGGAATACCCCGTAACCATGATTGCTGCAAAGCATTCGAAACGTCGCGTCGGGAAGGAAACCAAAAATCAAAATAAATCCGCTAAAAAATCCGTAGAGATAGTTTTATTTAAGAAATTTTTATTTTTTAACTCAAGAATTTATGTCGTTTTGCTGAGTTTTTTTGAAAAAAAGTTAAAATAAATAATACAGTATTTATAACCAGCTTACTTAACTATTCCGAAAAATCCTACTAAATTTGGAGATAAAAAATACGATGTATCTTTGCCTTTATCCGCTTCGAATATTATCAATAAATCAGCACATAGTCTATTTAAAAATCGGTGTATGTATGTATGTTCCCTATGGACTCCAAAATGGCTGGAGCGATTTTGATGAAATTTTCAGGCAATCTTCAGATTAGCCCATAGGGTGATCCTGTGAAGTTTGGTAGCGATCGGAAGTTTGAACGTAGGCGAGGCCGCGGGTACTGCTAGTTATATAATACTACCAAATTGCCCTTGATTTGCTCCAGTAGGTACTTCCATATGTGACACACACACATGCAAAGTTACCCATTAATAAGTCAAATTTATGCGTTAAAATATTGGCATTATATCAAAACAGGGTATATGTATTTGATACACTCTTTATCAACATTAGCGGTCACGATTATCGGGCTTCCGTTTTCTGCGTATTATGTCTACTGTCAACGAATAATGATATAACGCGGTTATGTTCATACATAATAATTATATTTAATACAAACATGGCAATCATTAAAACAGTCTCTCTAGCAAACTAGGGACACACCATCGCGTCGCTCGGGTTCGTCCCTAGGTGAATTTTTAAATTGACATAACTTTTTTATTTATGAACCGATTGAAATAAAAGAAATACTAAAATGGTTAGTGAAGCTTTAGTAAAAACCGCACCCAAATCGGTTAAGCCGTTTCTTTTAGATTAGCGCGCATAAACGCACAGACAAACAGACAAAAATTTTAAAAATCATTATTTTGGATTCTATTGCGATAATAATGTAATAGTTTTTCTCAAATATCTTCCAAGTACATACAGCGATCATTTACAAATTTATTATATGTATAGATTATGTATATTATTATTGATGATAAGCGGTAGCATACGTAATACATTATATGTAAATTCATATATAAATTAATAGTGTACATCCAATATCCGACTCACACTCGGTTCGCTTCGGGTTCGTCTCTAGACAAAAACAAATCTATCCCACGGAAACGGTACATTTTTCCGGGCTATGTAACCTATGTGCTATTCCAGACTATATTCTATCTTTGTGCCAAATTTCATCCAGATCTGTTCAGCCGTTCTGGCATGAAAGAGTAACAAATATCCATCCATCCTCACAAACTTTCACATTTATTATATAGATATTCAAATGAGCATTCATCATTTTTCCATACTACCTACCACATCTAGTTTCCAAATTAAGCAAATGCCTGAGTTTATAATCTAAATAAAAATATTATTAAATATGTGTTACAGAAACTCATTTAATACGTAAACCTCGACCCCATTACGGACTCTATAATAATTTATATAAAGAAAATAAATATTTATTTATAATTAGCATATATTATACATAAATGTTACGTACTATATTGTTGGACACGTCCTTGCCATTTGCCCTATCAATCTCTTTATCAAAAACTTCATCATAAAAATAAAATAACTAACGTAATTTATTACAAGCTTTTGTCTGCGGCTCCACCTTGTGATACGGCTATATTATTTTTACTCGAGTTCTCAACCGATTGTGGTCTTGTTTCGAAAAGAGAGTACAGGGTAGATTCCCTTTCAATCGAATCCCCATCACCATTAGTTAACCTAAAGGCGAATTTATTTTTATAAAAACTGTGCTTTTACCTAAATTATTCTATATCTGACGACATATTTGGCGCACTTTGTAGTGACCCTACTCGCTGTACCAGCGGTCGCGGGTTCGAGTCCCGCTAGGGGCATTCATTTGTGTGATGAGCACGAATGTTTATGCTCGCGTCATGGGTGTTTATATTTATATGAGTATGTATTTAAAGTTATAAATGTGTAGTGTATCAACTATCTAGTACCCATAGCACAAGCCTCGTAGCTTACCATGGAACTAGATGACGCTGTGTGTAAATGTCCCAACATATTTATTTATTAATCTAAAAGGTTCTGTTTTTGTTTCCAGGGCTTCGCTATGGGCATCCAGGCGGCCTCGGGACCTGTTTCAATCGCTGAGTATTCGGCACCCAAATATCGCGGAGCTTTCCTCGCAACCATTGCATTTTCATTCGCATTGGGCATGCTGGTTGCCCATATATTCGGAACCCTGCTTTATTGGAGAGCAGCTGGCATAGCCTGTGGATGTTTCTACATAATATCCTTAGTCTTTGTATCCTTATCACCAGACACACCACCCTACCTAGCATCTATGGGGAAATTTGATGCGTGTAAGAAGTCATTCCGGTGGCTCAGAGGCTATGATGAGGGATCTGAAAAAGAATTACAGATACTCCTCAACAGCCAGAAGAAAAAACCATCTATACCAAGAGTTTCTAAGTTCAAAATGTATACTGAGATCATAAAGAAACCTGAGTTTTACAAGCCTACCGTGATAATGATGTTCATGTTTATACTTTTCCAAATTTCTGGTATGACTGTGGTCCCATCGTATACTGTGCCTATGATGGAAGAAGTAACAGGAAATAGCATCGAGTCGTATACTAGCATGTTGATGGTTGACTTCGTTAGATTTGGTACAGCAATTCTGGCATGTATCATTGTAAATAAGCTAGAGAGACGAACTGTATTGTTTACGGGCATCTACATTAGTGTAGTGTCTTTATTTTTGACGTCTTTCCTATTGTATTTAAGAGATTACGGTTACATACCAGATGAGTATAGGTGGACTCCAGTCATACCAACATTAGTCTACATTTTTGGCAAAACTTTGGGCATTTTACCCATACCCTGGGCAATTGCTGGTGAAATTTTCCCATTGGCATATAGGTCGTTGGGAAGTGGAATATCTGGAATGTTCCTCTCTATTATGTTCTTTGTGGTTGTGAAGACTGCTCCGACGTCGTTTAGACAAATTGGTGTTAAAGGAACTTTTGGTGTTTACGGTATATGTATAGCGATATGCGGGATCTTTTTGTTCTTTTTACTGCCAGAAACTAAGGGCAAGACATTATACGAAATCGAATGCCAATTTAAGGGTATCAAGAATGAAGATGTACAAACTAAAGGAGAGAAGGACAAAATGTTAGAATTAGAGAAGGTGGAGGAAGGATGATGGAGTGAGATAATCAAATAGGAAACGCTTTCCAGCTACTAGAAGCTGGCCCGTAGCCGTAGGAGATCTTATGACAGTTAATATTAGCATATTAGATCAAGACGTGGTCCTCAAAGGATCTATTGAAGTGACAAACTGATTGTAAACTTCAATAAAAAAATAATTACTACACATTTGTTTTATTCTACTTGAAAAACTTAAACCGACTTCGTTTACGAAAGATAAAATAAGACCTTGAAATGAAATTAAATTGAAAGAAAAATCTACTGTACTATTAATCACTCACAAAATTGTAACCTATAGATGACAAATAAACGTATTGAGGCCTGAGGTATTGAGTATTGAATTGTTTTTTTACCACTTTATACTTAAAAACCCAAAGCAGATCAAGGGCTCTTCAAAAGAATTTGCTACGGGCCCCGCGCTTGCTTAATCCGGCACTGCTCGCTAGCTTATAGATAATACGCAACAGTCATTGATTTTAAAAAAATATTTCATCATTCATGTACTATCTTATTATATATATATCCAAAATATGGATCTTTAAAGTAACATAGTATAATCGAACTTAAAATAAATTAATGCAAACGTTTTTTTTTTATTTATTCACATAAATACATTGAGATTTATATTAAAACTGGACATGACACCACGAAATATTTTTAGTTAACCACCAGTCTCTTGGCACACGCACTTATTAGTACAGTATATGTGAACTACATCTACGCAAATCATTATTACTGTAACCGTTTAACGGCTGCGCGCACTTGCGGTCATTTGGAGACAACCCACGAAAACTGTCTTCAATCTCTTGGAGAGTCCTGTCTTTCGTTTCAGGCATCATAAAATAGACAATTGATAAACAAAACACAACAGCCCCAGCGTAGATTAAATATGTTATAGGAAGCCCCACAGCATTGGTTAGTACTGGGAAGGACTTGACTGCTACGAAAAAGTTTAGAGACAGGCATAAAATACTGATTCCACCACCTAAACCTCTATATTCTAACGGGAAAATCTCCCCTGAAATCGCAAACGGGATGGAGGATATACCAATAGTAAGAGAGCACATGTATATACCGATCAGCAGGAGAGGAATCCATTCGTTGTCGTATGGCAACATGTCGTTTTGTTTCGCATACACGTAGAAACTTTTACCTATATATGATAAAACACAGACCGCTCCACTACTGAACAGTAAAGTCCGTCGTTTCAATGTTTTCATTAGAAAGACTGCTAGTATATTACAAATTACCCTCTCTACATCTAACATTACCATTATAAACTTAGCATTAGCTTGCGGCCCGACCACTTTATGAATAATATCCATTGCATACGAACTAATAACGTTAATTCCAGCAAATTGGAACATAGTGTACAACATTGACATGATAATAATTGGTTTATAAAATTCAGGCTTTTTAGATGTGTTTCTCAAATATGAGAAAAATCCTTTCACTTTCACTTTTAATGACTGCTTCTCTTCAATTAAACTTGATTTTCGCTGCATTTTCTGAGCTGCTATCATATTCTCTAGTTCTGCTTCTTGAACTGAATCCCTTCCACGGAGCCAGAAAAATATTTCTTCTCCTTCCTCATATCTGCCTTTAGCTATCAACCATGATGGAGACTCAGGGTTATAGTAGATAATAAGTACTAGACTTGTAAACGTTATAAAAGAGCATATTAGGACATTTTGCTGCCAGCTAAAGTATATGCCCAATGCATGCGTAGTCATTACTCCCATGGTTAAGGATAGAGATACACTAGTGAGGAAAGCTCCTCGATTTCTGGGGTCTGTCATTTCACCAATAATTATTGAGCCCAAGGGTCCAAGCATTCCCATAGCAACACCCTGGAGAAACCTGGCTGCTATAAGACCAGCTACGCTGTTCACTAGCAGAAGCAGATACCACCCGATAAAAATTGGTAGTATTGTTAGTAGGTGGGACTTCTTCCGCCCGATGGTGTCCATGAGGGGAGTGATAATGAAGTTTCCCACAATCAGCGCAAACCCGATGATGGAAGCTGAAGTAGAAACAAAATGATCTAAGTCTTGGTCTTTTTTTTATTTTGAAATACATACCTACATATTGTAAACGGTTATCTTTTTTTTGGTAGGTTCAACATTTTTGTTCGAATAATCTTAAAAATTGTCTTCGTTTGTTTGTTAAAAATAAATTGTTAAAAAAAAGCTGTAAGTACAATATTATCTATTAGAAGATATGTACGTGAGTACATAATGACAAAACGCCTAAACTATTTCGTTGAAAATTGAAATGAAAACTTTAAATGATCTTTATATAAAAAATTGGAGCAAGTTAACTAGGTCAGCAGGTTGCTTGCAGCACATATCTCCAAAGAAGATAATACAATTAGATATTATTTAGGATTAGAAATTAAGGTTGTAAATTTCTTTATACCACGTCAGTAGTCACTATACTACGATTTTAAACATGTTATACGATTAAAGTTATACGGTCATTATTTAAAGTTTTTTTAAACATTTACTTTTACTTTAGGGAAAAACAAATTTTCACAATTTACATTTCGAATGTTGGCCTTATTATATATGAATCTCTGACTAAATTATTTGGTTTTTTGATGACCTTAGTCTTGCATTATGATGCTCAAGACAAGACAAGGCAGTGTACAATACTAACCGATCCATGACTCCTGGCTTGGAGTAACCTGGATATGAGATTCTGGGCGTCGCAACGCTGGGATCAGGACGGCTGAGAAACCAATGACGCAGCCGTGCGCTGTGATGTTCAGTGCCACACTCGCTGTCAGCAAACACTGGAATAGAATTAATCGGACTATTATTATCAATGCCAAATTTATATGTATGTGTTTTTTCTTCAAGCCGTGAAAGTGAAAGCCGTTTCAGACGGATTTGTATGAAATTTAGTAACACAGATAGACCTATTACTTTTTTTATGTTGGGTAATGCATTTACGCATACTACCTGTGTTATGTACACACGTACAAGTGGTTATGTGAGACTCACCGGCTAGAGAATTACTACACACTAAAACCCAACAGAATCCCTCTCGTCTTAATGGGGCATCGCAGAATCGCTTACGCACTGAACCACGTAACCCCGACGGCAGACCTGCCGAAGCAGACCACGCAACTAAGGGGTTACTCTTATGATCTACTCTGGTATCAGAGAAGAACCAGCAGCAACACGCACGGAACACCGCTATTAGCCGCCTCCCAGTAGGTTTGTACGCTTCGCAAACGGCTGGATTGCCGGACTCTAATGAGCCCACCACGACCAGGCGAATGCACATTGAAGAGGAGTATTACCTAGTGTAACACATAGGCTACTTTTAAACACCCATGGATGGACCCGAGTGAAGTGAGAGCAAGTCGCTAGTGGATATATAAAAAGTTAAAAACAAACAGTAATTATACTAATAAGGAAACAAATGATTACTTAAATCAATCATTAATTGCTTGATTTTCTAATCTCTTCTTTAATACAAATGCAACCTTCATAATATTGCAATTATTTGTACATTATACATATGTACTTAAACATATAAAATAATAATAATGTAAAGAACAATAGGGTAAGGAAGTAGCGAAAAAATCCTTTGCTTGATGACGTATTAAAAGAAAACCAAACACAGACGCAAAATATATTATTTTTTTATGACGCAAAATAAATTAATAATTGATAAAATATTGGTGGAGGACATTACTCTGATAGTAATCATTTAATCATGTCAGCTGATTATTGCACTTTGCGTAACAGATTGGCTACTGATTTAAACGTCAATGAATTTATTTGATGATTATAATAATAATAAAGTCCTAACCGATTTCGGCCACGGTGGCCATCCTGCGCAGGAGATCTTATAGTGCAGCGCGTGTTCGCGCAGACACAACGTGCACTCTCTATACCTTTTACTCTTAAAGTTCTATGGGACGAGACTTCGATACTACTGGTAAGAGTTATAGCGCAGGACCGACGGCTTTACGTGCTCTCTGAGGCTCGAGGGCGAAACACTACCACTTCCAATTCCAGACTGTTACTGAGAATATTTTAATAGAAAAACTAAAACTTGTTGTCAAAGTAATTACACTTGGCCCGACCCGAGACTCGAAATCAGGACCTACAGATCTGCAGCCATACATGCTAGCCACTATACCACCGACGGAGTAGAAGTTTAATAAGATGATGATGATGATAGGTAGGAAGATGTGTTTTTGCTTTATATTGAAGAAGACATAAATAGATAACAAATTTATCTGCAGAGTTATCATGAATGGTACGCTATCTCTATAAATGATCTCCGTATTTATATCAAAAAGCAGCTGTAATTTGCTATAATCTAAAATAATGTTATAAGTGATGACTGATGAAATGATTATTGTAATACATATGTATGTATAATGTGAAGAACTGAGATTAGGAACATCATTAGCCTCCTTAAGGCGTTTTGCTAGGTACCAAATGCAAATCTAGAACCGCTTATAGGAAAATTATCGACGTCTATAAACGATTGTAACTTAAAAGGAGTACCGAATGTATTACTTTCATTACTAAGAAAAAAGGTAATCTAGCTAAAAAATCTGTATATAACTAACTGTTGATGAACCCCACATTGCAGGAGTTCGGGAAAACCTCGGCAGGGATGTCACAACTAAGTACGAGTATATACTGACCAGGTAAATGCCTACTTATTTTTAAAGAATATTGTTCAAAAGACGGAGGGTTGTTGTTTTCATTCTCTTCATATTATCTCAAGCGGCTATGTACCGGAAAGGGAAGCATGGGCATTCCTTCAACAAGGTGGACCTACGACTTGGTTAAAATTACCAGAAACCACTGGATGTGGATAAAACTAGACTGAATGTCATGAAAGATCTTGGAGGAGAACTATGGCCATTAGTTGACGTCTTTCAACTGAAATTATGATAATGACCTTCCCAGGGTTTGTAAATCTATGGTGGAGCTTATCACTATATTAAAAATTTTAGAGATGTCATGCAATGACAAGACCGCTGTTAACTTTTTTGCTGGAGTATTAGAATACCATTTAAATATTTTTAGAGTTACTTTCATCAAAATAACTCATAAGCTACTTAAATTACCGCTAAAACACACACCCAAGAACCAAGATTGAAAGACTATCACCTCCAGGTAAATTTCTAAGAAATTAACTAAATTTCTAAGAAATCTATTGTTAACTGTAACGCCGGCGTGTCCGCGGTCGTTGAAGGAATATTATACTAGCGACTCGCCCTCCCTTTGCTCGGGTTCGTCCCTTTAGGTACGTTTTAACGGTTAGAATGGAATAAAAAGCCGATCCTTTGCTCTGTGAAAAACAAAAACAAATCTATCCCACAGGAATCGTACATTTTACCGGAATAAAAAGCACTATTTGCTATTCCAAATAATAATCTATCTCTATGCCAAATTTCATCCAGATCCGTTCAGCCATTCTGACGTGATTGAGTAACAAACATCCATCCATTTAAATTTTCGCATTTATAATAGTAATAAGTAATATTATATGTATAAACCAAAATTTATAGTGTGATTAAAATTTATTTTAAAATATATACGAAAATAACATTAAACTTTAATTAATAGTATAAAAAATGTTTTAAAAGACAAAAATATCGAAAGTGTATCATATTACAAGACATAATCAGAGATATATATATATATATATAAGAGACATATCATAAGACATATTCCGCTATAAACAATAGCATTCCCAAGGAGGGTTGACGTCAGGCAGGCGGCCGGTCGTAAAACTTTTGCCAAATCCTTTCAGCAGTACAGAGGATGTACTGCGCCGACCCCAAGTAATTGGGAAATGGGCAGGGAGAAGAAGAAGAAGAAGAAGTAATATTATATGTACATATATTATGTAGACTATATAATATGTATATGTTGGTTGACTAACTAATATTTTTCTCTACATAATTAACATTGATTGATTAAAAAGAAATTAGGTACACTACGATTATCGCGTTGCTAGGCAATCAGTAGCTAACCGTCAATAGCGGGAAAGGTCGATAAGTCTTTAAAAATATAGTCATAAATATACATAATAATCTTAATCAGTGACGTAACTCCTATCGGATGGTATCACGGACCTTTTTATTGCTTTTTTAGCATTAGAATTTAAAAAAAATAAGGAAAAAAATATCATCAAGAGTAATATCAATGTTTTATAAGTTGCAATTAAACAAGTACATAACGCCTTTGTCTCAGTCTCTAACGTGACCATGATTGCAGTAAAGCATTCGAAACGTCGGGAACCAAAAATCAAAATAAAACCGCGAAAAAAATCCAAAAAAGCAGTTTTATGTTAAATGTTCGCGTATATCTAAGAAAATTTTTTTTTGTAAACAAAATATTTTTCTATAAAAACCTCAAAATTATTAAAATTGGTAAACGATAAGAGCAATCTCTTGATCAATGGCATTGTTAATAGCTATCTGCTGCTATTATTACTTATAAATCATACTTCAAAACTATAAGTACCTGTACAGCTGACAATGTAATTACATCGTAAGATACACTTAATTATAGCTTTCAATATCTATACATAAAATTCTTGAGTCGAATCTGTAGATTGAATATTTTTAAAAAAATCTTATATAAATAGTCGATTATTAAATCGATACAGAGGCCGAATCTATAGTTTCTAGATTTTTTGTCTGTTTGTCTGTCTTTGACCGCACCATGGAAAAGCCACTGGAGGGATTTTGATAAAATTTGGTATGATGATAGCTGGTTATCCGGGTTAACATTTAGGATACTTTTTTATCTTGGAAAACATCTCATCTCTGAGAAATCTATATTAAACTTTAAAACGTAAGTAGGGTCGAATCCGAGCGCAGCGAGGGTAAGTCGCTAGTTTAAAGATAAAATTAAAAATATTTTATTGAGCAAAGCGTATTAATCTGTTCAAGAGTTTCTTGTTGATGGAAATGTGTCTAATAATGATATATTGACTCATATGCCGGCTATCTGCAATATTATGTTAATCAATGTAACTTTGATATTTAAAAGAACAACTGTTGAGTTTCTCGCCGGATCTTCTCAGCTGAACTGTTTTCCGAGCCGGCGCGCGGTAGCTTCCTCACGGACTGACTACACTGACGCTATTTAAATTAAACTAGCTACTCACCCTCGCCTCGCTCGGGTTCGTCCCTAGCTTGCTTCCCAATACAAACTTACATCCCCTTTTCATCCCCTTAAGGAATGATTTCCGGGATAAAAAGTATCCTATGTCCTTCCTAGGGTCTCAAACTATCTTCTTATCAAATTTCATCTAAATCGATTCAGTGGATCCAGAGATTACCCCCTACAACGTCACAAACTCCCAATCACACAAACTTTACCTCTTTATAATATAAGTATAGATTGACGATTCAAAAGTGCTTATACTCGTAAATAAATCCAATTAGACTTACTAATTGAATAAGGTTTACTTTCATTTCAAATAAACTTAGTTTTTATAATAAGTCAAAAATGTGAACTAAATAATAAATTGCATTAGAATTAAGATTTTTGGCCTATCTATATTGTTATGTTATTAAAATAGATTAGAATAGATTAACTCAAGTCTAACCAGTCCAGTTAAGTCTAACCCCTTTAACTAATTAACATAATAATAACCAATTTCAAAAACAACGGGAAAAACATCTAAGATAATGAGTATAATTTAAAAAATAAGATTAGATTGATTGACTTTAACACGTTCCGGGACACTTAAATTTTTTTTAGTCTCACGATATGACATTCAAAATTTCCATACATTCGAACATATCGTCCATTGCCGTATTGCCAATTTACATTATTTTTTAGTTTTGCGATAAGGCAATTACGGTCATAGACGTTAACGCCTATAGGCGGACCGTCATATTATGAATAGTTATGTACAATGTACTATGACAGTTCGGCTAGGGACGGTGCTGCCAAAAGACGATGTGTCATATCATATAGATCTGAAAAGGTGTATTAGTGTGTAAACTTCTAAAAAAAACCTACAAATTTAATACTTATAAGTTTATTGATCACAGTATGTTTTTCTAAATTCTTAAACAATATGTACCTTAAATTCCTGTTTAGTCTTATTTAGTATAAAGTAAAGAAATATATTTGAAAACAGGAGAAACTATTTGTGTGTGTTAGAACTAAGAGTTAAGTGCCATTTTTCGAAACATTATATGTATATCATCAAGTTTCGTAAGACTTCTTATCAACCTGTCTCTGTTCTCTACATATCCGTATTTCTTGTCACTATTCTTTATTCATTTTTTGAATAAAAAGAAAGAGTTCCATGGCGCAACATCTAACATGTGAAAGAGTACTTTTTTGTACCATCTTATTCTTTTTCTCGGACACGAATAGTAAGAGATCATTTGATCGGCACGATCAATTCGTGGAGATGTAGAGGAGAGATTTGGGTATATCTGTTCGGTTCGATGGTGAAGATAAGATGATTCATAGGCATGGGAATGTAGGCGAGGTTCCTGAGAGCCCATTACATCTTCTTCACGGTATACTATCACAGCTTGGTCATCGCAAGACTTTTCACCTATTTCCTCTTCTGTTACCGGGTTGTCATCATTCAAACTAGAATCATCCAACCGGCTTGGACGACATCTGCAAAATATAATACGTAAATACTTATAATACAAACAGTTAGTAGGTAGCTAAAATAGCAGGTAAATATCATTCGAATAAAGTCTTTTATTGTCACTTGTATAACATATTTCTATCCCTACCTAAATAAAAACAACACTATAGGACAACACAACACATTTTCCATCAAATTTATATCATATTATAGTATAAATAAACTTTATTTACCTTGCATTTGTTGACAAAACTCACTAAACACTTACAACATAGCAAAGATTAACTGGCAGTGCGCGCGCTGTGACACTGAATTCCGAAATCACTGTACTTGTATGACTGAGTTTACGCCTCTCGACGGTGTACCTGTATTTGTTGGGTGTGAAACCACTGCGTATATGCGTGTGGAAAAAGTACTCGAATAGAGTTTACCGTGACAGCTATCACCGAACGGAGGCATGTGATATGACACTAGATCACGTGCTTCCTAGTAATGATAGGGATAACCAACGGCCATCGACGCTTTGTCAGATATAATAAAATAAAAGTAGCCGCCCATAGCCGTACTGTCACATAACACGATGCCAATTTAACGTCGAGAGGCGGTCTGTCCCGGAAAGTGTTAAAATTTTATAAATATAATATAAATTATTATTTTGTACTTTTATTTATTGCATATAGAAAATGGTCGGGGAATGACCGAATTCTGATTTTTATCGCGGTGGCTGCAGAAAATGACGTCGAGGTGCGCCTGCGCAAGCCACAGAGCGAAAATAGTTATATATACAAATTAAAAGAATTGACTAACATTTTATCACTTAAAGTACTTTATCGGTACAAAGCCCATTGCATCATGTGTTTTTTAAATTTACAATCATAAATCCAGTCATTTATTACTATAAGTCGCCATATTTATTTACTACTACTAAATAGGTCGTTTACCGATTTCAAAAAAGAAATTTTGAGTGTATGTTTGTGCGATATCTGCATGTATTGTTTTCGATTTTATTGTTTTTTTTTAGATGAATATAGTTATACCTCAGAAATGTTCTCATAAAGTTAAATTTTAAGAACAAAATCCTTTATAAGAATGGATAAATATGTACTATTAGTTACGAAATACTTAAGCATACATCATCATACTCTTTACTGGTGATTTTCCTATTAATACAAGATTAACCTATTTTTTGGAATATGTTAATAATGATGAAGTAAAATAATAAAATTTAAATACTTTTTTACAGTCTGTTTTGTTTTTCCAAAACGAAAGGTATACAAATTCTTAATTATAATAATAGTGAGTAGTAAGTATCTATGCGTTTCCTTTTCAACTACGTTTAATAAATTTAATAAAATTAAATACGTTTAATAAATTTAGTAAATAAGTATGCGTGTGCGTATGTATGTGCTTAAGCATGTGCGTGTGCGTGTTCATGCGTGCGCATGCGCATGAGTTAGCACGAACTAATAGACGTAGGTACCTACATACACTTAATCATATATATATATATATATATATATATATATATATATATATATATATATATACTTAATATTTAATAATACATATACTTAATCTGTAACTAGTGAAAGCAATATACCTACTACAATTACTAAAGTAGAAATCCATTTAGGATGTGTTTGGAACGTAATAGAAATAACTTTCAGAATATTCCACCCTTAGGGATGGAATGGTTTTGAAATGAATATGCGACCAAATACGAAATATAACAACCCCATCTTGACCAGCGCGGTGGACTATGGTCTAATCCACCTCGCATTAAGGGGAGGCCTACCCCCAGCAATAAGAAGGTCCCACTGTATAAAGGGTTGAATAAATATGTACACACATACATAACAATAAGGAAAATACTTACAATAAGAAAATTATTGATAAATGAATTTATTTCTTAAACTCATACAAATAATCATTTTACTGTTGAATTAGAATTCAATTAACACAAAGACAACTTTTAATTTAGTTGATCTGTTACAAAATAATAGATACTTATAATAATTAAAATTTAAATTATGCGTTTAAATTCAACATGGGATAAAAAAAGAGATTTTTACTGGCGTATAGATAATTCGGTAGAAAATTGCTATTTTTTCTCATCAAAACAAAGGGGTTTTCATCCAACAGGATTTTAGTTCTGTGAATTTTACAACAGTGAACAAAAACCAAACGTCTTTTTTTTAATAAATAATATTTTAAAAAACATTTGGAAGTCCCTTACCTGTCGCAACAAAGGCACATAGCTCCTTTTCTCTTTAACCATTTTATAAAACTTATGCAGAGAACATTTTAATAACGTGTATCGTCTTACTCGAGCATATCCTTGTAATGACTGAATGTACCAATGATATTGATAAAACGATTAGATAAAAGCTATCATAATATCTTCTTTGTGTTTTTAGGGTTGTTTGTTTGCTTATTTTCTATTTTTTATTCAGTTTCCGGCTTAGGTGTTGAAGTATGTAATATTAAATAATAATTAATAAGTAGTTATCCAGTGGCCAGTGGCGTAACTAGCCTTTTTAGGCCTCTATGGCCCCCTTGTATCAGGGGCCCCATGCAACCGCATTGGTTTCATTGGCATAGCTACTCCCACTGGCAATACCTCAGTTTGGGATATATGTACATACATATTTGCTTCGAAAGGAAATCGAAGCTGTGACATTTGTGTGGGGATTTTTATATCTATTTTTTTAAATTAGGTTTTATTATTCTCTGAAGCAATACGTTAAGTTTTAGTAGAGGGAAAAAAGATATGAATGACGAAAAAGCGGAAATAACTCAATAAAACCTTGTGTGAAAAGTGAAACGTAAGTTTCTTTTTTATATAATTTTCATTTACTAATATTTAAAAATGCGAAAGTACGTCAGTTAGTTTGTCTTTTATTTACCACTAGTAACTTCACTCGCTTCGCTCGGGTTCGTCCCTAGGTACATTTTATTTTTTTTGAGCTGAACCCTAATTCTTTTTACAAGATAAAAGTAGCCTAAGTTACTCGTTATAACATCAGTTACCTGCCAGTAAAAGTCCCGTCCAAATCTGCCTAGCCAGTTTTTAAAAATCGTATTTTTCTTATAAATACCGTATATAATTTCATATGCTTTTAGTAACAAGCAATTATTTTGACATTACAAACAGACACTTCAATTTTATTTATCTGTATACAAAGATTACACGCATCTATTAGCTGTAGTATAACAAGATTTTTGGTATAAAAATATATTTCTTTTATTCCAATATATCATGTAAGTAATTGCCGTAAAACTTTCATTTACATGAATCCACTAAGTACATATCTGAACAAAACTAAGTCTTAATAGTAGTTAAAAATAAAATTGTTATTTTATCTCATCCAAGATAATACCTCGTGTCGTTGTTTGTAAAGGTGTCGAGACTTAACAATAAAATATATTATAACGATTAAAGCTAAATATAAGATATAATCTAGAAATTGTTTAAATGTTTATGTTTAATTGGTATAATTCATACATTTTTAAAATTTATTATCTATACATATATATAATTATTGAGTCGAATCTATACATAGTATAATAAATATTTTTTGGGAAATCTTATTGATATAGTCTGGTAGGTTGAACTTTTGATAGGGCCCTAGGGCACTGTAGTGAAGTTGTCAAAATATTGACCTATTTTATAAAAAAGAAGTTAAAAATTCTAACCCCTTTAGAAGTTGAATTGCCAAAAAATGCTTCCTTACCGTATACCTACTCCGATAAGGAATCCATCTTTTTCATACGTTGGAAAACGCATTTACGCAGACCACCGGTACATATACTACAAGGGTTATGTGGGACTCAACGGCTAGAAAAGCCAGTACCTACTACCCACTAAAACCCAACGAAACCTTCCCCCGTCTTAATGGGACATATAATTGTTCGCCTTTTAAAGTCACTACTTTCTACATCTGACAAAAACGTAATTTATAAAAAACGTAATAATAATGAGGTATAAGTAATCGTAAATAGAAAAGTATCTATTAAAAATGTGTGTATAATCTGTAGTTTAAACTGCGTGTTTAAACTGCCTCGGTGGTGTAGTGGCTAGCATGTACGGCTGCACACCCGGAGGTCCTGGGTTCGAGTCCCGGGTCGGGCCAAGTTTAGTTATTTAGTCTTTCTGTATAGTAAGTCTCAGTAACAGCCCGGAGTTGGGGAGTTGGCGGTGTTTCACCCCCGTGCCTCGGAGAGCACGTAAAGCCGTCGGTCCTGCGCCTTAACTCTCACCGGTCGTGTCGAGTGGTCGTCCCACCGGAGTATGAGAGTGATAGGAATAGAGAGTGCACCTGTGTCTGCGCGTACACTTGAGCACTATAATATCTCCTGCGCAGTTGGCTAATCTCAATGAGATTGGCCGCCGTAGCCGGAATCGGCTAGGAGAACATCACATCATCATAATCTGTAGGTATATTTGTGTTCCTACTTCCTACACTTGGATTCTCAGATCATACAGACGTACAAGTAAGTAAATTAAGCTAATATATAATAATAACATAGCATATTTAAATTTGTTTGCTACTGACTGCGTATAATTGTCATCGAAATCAAAATATTATCAGTGATAAGAAATATAATCATTATAACCGATTTTCATGGACGATTCAAACTTATCTTGCTTTATAAGCTGCAAGGTCTAGGGCTTTGATCTAGTTCATTACATATATTTATAATTTATTGCTATTGATTACTAAGAGTTTATCTATTTTTACAATATATGTAATTATAATAATTAACTAGTTAAAATATTTACTTATACTTAATTTTATTCCCAAATAGATTATTATAAAAACACAATCTTCAGAGTAAATATTATTATTTATTCAGTGTTATAATAGTATGAATAAACATATTATTTTATTATTAAAATTTGATATATTACTGACATTTAAAGTAAAGAGTATTATTTTGTGAATGTAATCAGCTCTTTTTAACATCCCACTGCTGGGCACCCTGCAGCACCCTGGGCAATGGCCTTCCGTCAATACAAGAGGTTCAGGTCTTAGTCCACCACGCTGACCAAGCGCGGGTTGGCGGAGTTTACATGTCTTTCTAAAATTTACTAGGTTCTTTCAGACATGCAGATTTCCTCACGGTGTTTTCCTTTACCGTAAGACAAGTTGCAATGATGTTGCAAATATGAATAAAAACTTTTTAACAAAAAAATAAAAACCGACTTCAAACAAAAGCACTAAAAAGTAAAAAATAACTGATTGGTAGTTTTCATTTACTATACATACCTAATCAAATATTTTCGAAGTCGGTGTGCTTTGCTTTGTATGGGCTGGCACCGATTTCGAAAATATTTGATTAGGTATGTATTTAATAGGTAGGCTTTAATTACTTAGCCAAAGCACACCGACTTCGAAAATATTTGATTAGGTATGTATAGTAAATGAAAACTACCAATCAGTTATTTTTTACTTTTTAGTGCTTTTGTTTGAAGTCGGTTTTTATTTTTTTGTTAAAAAGTTTTTATTTTTCCCTTTTTAGTGTAGACAGTAGTAGAAAAGTAATGATTCTAACGTGTTAGGCTTGTCAAATCAAACAAAATAAGCCCAAACTCAAAGTATCTACTATTAGCCGTTGAAGAGTTCCACCTATCCACCTTCTGGCCTTGGCATCAGATCAGGTCAACAACACCGAACCACTGTACTATCAACGGAAATAGAAATACTTGCAAAGTTTCAAGTCAATATGACAATTAGAAGTAGGTTAAATTCATCATTTGTTGTTTTTCCACCCTTAGGGGTGGTATTTTTTTTTGAAATTTAAATGGGACCAATCTGGAAGTATACCCTTTCAAACGACACAAAAATTGTCCAAATCGGTTAATAAATGACGGAGTTCTGAGGTAACAAACATAAAAAAAAAAAAAAAAAAAAAAAAACATACAGTCGAATTGAGAACCTCCTCCTTTTTGAAGTCGGTTGATAATATAGTACACTAATCTGCCACTATATTTGTGAACGCCACCTATTATGGAATAGCGACAATGCTTAGTGATCAGTTTTTACCATAACTTAATTATAGATGGCGATATACCGATGGAATAAAAAATACATTTCTAGTTTCTTCAATATTCTTCAGTAGTCTTAGATAGTTCGCGATCAGGGCTGCCAGATAAGTCTTTGATTTACCCGACCAATAAACCTCTAAATACCCGGTTTATCCCGCCACGCCAACCATGAGCAGAATACCCGAAAATATTTTTTTTTTTAAATAATTTATTCATTTTTTATTAAAATAAAAGAAAATACTAATGTTAGAAAAAAAAGTCATTGTTATTAGTTCTCAAATAATCAGCTAAACCATAAAACCTTTTTTTTTTTTTAACGTTGGGAAATGCATTTACGCGTGTGGGACTCACCGGCGTAATACAGCCAGTACTACCCACTAAAACCCAACAAAACCTTCCCCCGTCTTAATGGGGCGTCGCAGGATCGCTTACGCATTCAACTACGACGCCCCGACGGCAGGTCTGCCGAAGCAGACCACCACAACCATGGGGTTGCTCCACAGTCCACTCTGCTATCAGAGAAGTACCAGGAGCAACCCGCATGGTACACCGCCCCCCGAAAAGGGCCACCTCCCACCACCCACCGAAGTGGGCAACCTCCCTGTGCGTTTCTTAGCTTCGCGCCCGGTTGGATTGCCGGGCACTACCGAGCCCCCCCACCACGACAAGGTGAACGCACGTTGGGGGGGAAACCATAAAACCTGCTTTGACCCCGCTCAATGCAAATACCCGTCAAAATTACCCGCCATCAAAAATCGTAAAATTACTCGCTTTTCGGGTAATTTTCCCGCCAATTGGTAGCCCTGTTCGCGATTGACCTAGATAGAAGAGCGCTCTACGACGATCTCGCTCTTATAGTTATATTTATTTTTACGGCGTCCGCTCTATTATGAAATGACGCTAACCAACCGATTTATTTATGTTTGATCTTTATACGAGATGTATACCGTGTTAATTTAATAAAATTTATTAAAATAAAACAGAATAGTCGTCAATATATAATTTCCCTTTTTTAGTCATCTCTACTGAAATATTACAAAAAAAAAAATAACGAACTAAAAGAGCGAACTATTTCGCAATAGGACTGCGACCTAAATTGAGTGCTCATAATAACGACCGACTTTGCCCAAGAATAATCTTCTCTAATAATTATTAAACTTCAATTTCAAATTATATAGCTTTTTAAAGTAAGCATATCAATGTAAAT